TTTTTTTTTTTCGTTTTTTGAGCATTGATTTTAACTGTTTTTACCTTGAATTTATCATTCTAGTATTTCGGTTTTGTTACTGCGGGAGGGTTACATTGGGCCTGTAGTTCAGTTTTTTTAAAAAGACGTTATTTGAATTCGATATTGTAAAATCAGTGTTAATATATATTTTTTCTGGATTTTAGTGCCATTCAACTCGCGACATAGTATTACTTATTAAATAAGTATGACTGATACAATGAGCAAACTGTTTCAGATTAAACTAGGTCACGCCACGCTGTATACGGGCCGCTGAATAAAGATTTAGTTTTGTGGTCCGTTATTGCTGAAAATCTGACTCATTTTTCCTTTTGATCTCGGCTACTCTTATTGTATATCTGTACTAATAACCTGCTAAATGGCGGATCAGCTCACAGAAGAGCAAATTGCTGGTATGACTTTTTTTTCCAGAAAGATTGTTTAGTTTTAGTTTTGTAAACTTACCTTTACAAGCCTACATAGATACATAGCATTATGAATTTTTAGAACGATGAAGTTTTTGTATTTTTGGTTTTATCGACTGTTTAGTCTTTTGTAAATTGTTCTTTATGCAGTTATAGCTTTTACATGGAAGGTAGTTAGTAGATTACCAGTCATTCAGCAAATATTGCACATTTCTTTTGATGTTATACTTCATGAATTGCTTTCATTACTGACTGTAGTAAAAAATGTTCAAGCTTATTTTGCAGAGACGATTACGCTCGGGAATTTTAACTTTTATAATTCAGATGTCTTAGTTAGTTTAAACTGAAGTTTTCCAAAGCTTATCTTTTTTCCTAAAAGAACCCATTTGAAATTTACTTCTTTTTAGTAACTAGACTAGTGTGCGCTTTATAGGATTATTCGCTACTTTCACTGCTTAATAATTTGATATCGTTCACCTTTTGGGCACTTGGCGTAAAGAATAAAGTATATGAGCGTCTATTTCAGAAGTTTCTGCTTTATGTGACCTTTGAGATCGTTTGTAAATTTAAATAGCCAGATAGATTACGTATAAGTTTCCTTTTTCAGAATTTAAAGAAGCCTTTTCCTTATTTGATAAAGATGGTGACGGAACGATCACTACAAAGGAATTGGGTACTGTGATGCGATCATTAGGACAGAATCCTACTGAGGCTGAACTGCAGGACATGATCAATGAAGTTGATGCTGACGGTCCGTTTTGTTTAACTTACCTTGTATAAACTGTTATTTCGTCAAGCTAATACTCATTCATCTCGATATATTTTGTAAGCGAAATTCTCGCTGTATAAAATTATGGCACATGAAAGATAGAATATTAGTTTCTGAAGTGGAATATTTGGGGCGCATTAAAAATTTTTTGTTTATCGTTGTTGTTTGTAGCCGCTTGTAATCAGTCGTTTTAAATTACAGATGGGAAAACATGGTGAAATTTCAGGTAATGGAACTATTGATTTTCCTGAATTCCTTACCATGATGGCTCGCAAAATGAAAGATACCGATAGTGAAGAAGAAATTCGTGAAGCTTTTCGGGTGAGTTTTCATAGTATCGAATTGCATTTAGTTACTTTGTTTTTATTACACTGATTTGTTAAGTGTTGCCTTTTAGTACAAATTAAAATCATACATCTTTTAATGTTCACCCCCTGAGCTCCCCCTACGCATTTTACGACGCTGGATCTTTAGCTGTAATTTTTGAAACAAGTTTTCCGATGGGTGGGAGGAGTGTGTCATAAATGTGTATTGTATTTTTTAACGCTGAATTTGAAATGTTTTTCTGCAGAATATACTTTTTTGCACTCAAATTATTAATTCTCCAAATCTGTCTAAGGTCTTCGACAAAGATGGTAATGGATTTATATCAGCTGCTGAATTACGCCATGTAATGACCAACCTGGGCGAAAAGCTGACGGATGAGGAAGTGGATGAAATGATTAGGGAGGCTGACATCGACGGTGACGGTCAAGTAAATTATGAAGGTAATCAGCATTTTTGCTCAGTCAACTTTTAAGGAAGAACTAGTTTAACACATAGAACCTGAAATTTATTTGCGACTTAGTTAACTAACATATTCACTAGTATGGCAGCGGGACAACATTTTTTTGGGGGGCATTTTGGGAGGTGACGGTTTATTATTTCACTGTTGTTTACAGCAAAAGTTGTTATGATTCTGCGTAACAAGGTTTTTTTTAGAGTTCGTTACCATGATGACAACAAAGTGACCTGTAGTTAGTACGACTGTATTGGAATGAGGTTGTACCTTCATAAAGATTCATCTGTTACAGCGTTCTACAAATTTTCACTGCATATGTATCTCTGAATGTTATTACCATTTTTTTGGTTTTTTCTGTTTCAATTTTTCAGATTTTTC